GTGTTCATTTAATTAATAACCCACTCTGTTTATTGTTATTGTATTTTGCAGGAGAAGATTACTTCACTGGCTGATAACTTTAGAGGTCGGTCGAAATATTTCACACCAGTAAAACAACAAAATTTCGTGAGAGCATTACCAGATTCTCCACAATTAAAGCTGTTGATGAATCAATAATTTCTGGCTAATATAAATAGTGTAAACTGTGGCCCACTTTTATATATGCAGTAGTCTTAGCAAACCTATAAATAAATTTTGCAAATAGTTGAGTTGCCATGATAAATAAATTCGAGAACAGCCTCATCAGCAGCTTCATGTATTTTCTCAGCCACATCAGCCATTTCAACAAAAATTTCACTTTGTCTGGTTTTGTTGCAGCATGCCCCATATAATAAAGGTATAAATGTAAAATATTAATTTAAAATAACCACACCGTCAACGAAGTGACGGGTTATACACTAGTTAGTAATAATTATAATTTAATAATATTGATTTTAAACCAGCTCAAAATAAGCTCAAACATGTTTAACGTATTACAGCAACTTAATTAGACATTTTGCGTATTAGTATCTCGTTAACAATATTAACTTTAAGCTTATTAACACAAGATTACATAGTAATAGTAGTAGTTCGCATTTTGTGTAGGAAATGCGCGAGATAATTTATTTATATTATAAATGTAAAAAGTATACCGATTTTCTGTAATTATCTATAAAATAACCAATTTACGCATAATATTAATATGGGGTTTGCAATTAATAAATACAGTTGAATAGTCTTTCAAATTTTTATGGACTTTAGTAACATGCAAAGAATGACTGGGTTATCAAATTGAGCAAGTGACAGGCTAGTTGTATGCCATGTAACTGTCAAATTTTTGTATAATGAATTTGAGTTGATTATCTATGTTCCCGGTCTTAGTTGGATGCATTTGAATCTCCTCGAATGGCTGGACAGTTACATTGTTCCATTTTTGCAAGGTGCTTTAAGTCTAAACTATTGCTATTTCTCATTACCAATTTATAGGATGAGGCTGCATCCATAATAATAAGAGGGGAGAGTTTTCTGTTATACGGGACATGCTGCAACAAAGCCAAACATGTGACTAAATCGCAAGTGGGGTTATTTTTTATTATTAATGCACAGTTGTAGCTCATATTTGAATTTGGGAGGCATTGACAATCACCAAGATCATTTCATCGACAATCATTTTATCGTCATCATTTCGCCAACATTATTTTTTTTTGGTAATTGACTGTCAGTGAAATTAACTGATTGTAATAATTGTCGATGAAACGACCTGTCGATGAATGACCTTTACAGATAATTTGTCTTTATCGAAAATATATTGACTTGTTCGTTCCATTAAAAGGTGATTAATGTTGGACAGGGTCAGGTCTCAGTTCCAAAGTATCTGAAATGATAAAATATACATCTCCTTTTTCCAACAGTATTAGAAAAAGGAACACAGTTTGTTTCCCCAATACAGTACCGCAAACTTACAATGCGAAAACTGACAATACAATACAACATAACAATCAATAACCCAAACATTTTATTTATATGCTTTGTAATGACGAATGACTTGATAAACTTGACACCTCAGCCATAGTGAAGTGGCAACTGTGTGCTACACAAAAACGCCGAGCATCATATAATGTTTCTGTCTACTGTACATATCTACCAGAAAGAATGTGGCGTCTTTATTTGAAAGACGAGTCTATCGTTCAAAGTCGTACATATTTTGAATCTTCTTAATGGTCAAAAGATGCTTCGCAAATGGCCAATGCATAGACACACAATGTTGTTGTTATATTTTTATCAACAATCTTTATTATGTAGCCTGTGCTACTCGAACGATATTCTCTTTTTCTCAGAGATTACGTATCAACCAATTCAGACAGACTTACAAGTCGTTTGAAACACGCATCATGATATCTCTTGCACGACATGGACCGGAATTTACTCAATGGTGTTTTTCCTTTCCATCCATTTATTCAAACAGGCTATGTGTTTGCTTAAAGCAAAATCGCGATTTTGTTTTACTCCATTCATGAGCAATTACATTATCGACCGTCTAAGATATAATTTGATAAGTAATATGGCGTTGCTTTTTTACGAGTAATTGTATTATCAACTATTAAATAGGATTGTTTGGTACAAAAATTACGTTTGCTTTGCAAAAATATAGAACGGCATTGTCCGTCTGGCGTGTGTTTATTGTCGCTATCTAGGACTGTTACGTTATCAGAATCAACAAATTTGTGACAAGCCAAGCCTCTTTACTACGCTATTTACAGATCGAACGCCATTTCATTGTTCCATTCGCTTCTTTTTCACAAGTAATTGCGTCATCTGTGGTTAGATAAATTACAATTCGTTTATTAGTCAATTGTTAATTGTAGAGTAATCGGCGTTTTTCTTCGATCTCCGCTTTCACAGGTAGATGCCTATCAGAGATCTAAATAAGGGCAATAAAGCCCCCTTGGCGATAAAAGAATACGTAGTCAGACATAAACAAAAGTTTGGTTCAATTGCGTTATTCCCACCAAACATCTGCAAAAACTCGTTTGACCACTTACGTCGTTGTACGTGGATTGATCGGATCAGAAAGGCCCCTTAGCATCTATCTGAGAATATGATGTTTAACTGTTGTCATGCGTCAATTGAGGCACAATAAAAGTGTAACGTATGACTTGGTGAGTGTGTAGTTGGCGGTTGATAATTGGGTGCAAAAAAGATTATTACAAAATAATAAGGACAATTTTATATTATCTATTTCGCTGGAATGGAATAACATACCAGCAATAACGTTTTTATTATTCTGTACATATCTGATTATATAATGAACGACTTCTGTTACTATTACCGGAATTATTTATCTGATTTACGATTACTATAATAGTATATAGTGATCGACACTAATAGTCAATCCTTGTTCAATTGACTAATATACAATTCGGACACTTATTCTGTATAGAAATGTTCATCTTGACCAATCTAATGTATTGTTTGCGCAACCTTTTACGTTCGTGCTTAAAACTTCAATTTACGTGCCAATGAGGAATCTTGCTCAAAACGTAAATAAATTATATAATGTGTATGAATTCATTCACATATTATCAGACGCTGACTATACTGTATCCTCAGAGTGGTGACGTCGGGAAGTTATCGTCCTTATTTGAGGGTCCCCGACAAGGCCTCAGGCGATTGCTTCTGCTGCCGGTCTGAGTTTATTCCAGAAAGTGTGGTCGAGTGCCTAAGGTGCTTTAAAAGATGTGTATTTATAACCCGTTGCATGTCTGTTATGAAAACAAGAATTTGAATTTACGTATTTTTGATCATTGTCATTACGTCTTTTCTCACACTGTTCTTTTGCTTTACACCAATGCTCTTTTTTTTTCATGACCTTTGTGTATGACATTGCACACAGACTATACGTGCAGAACGGCCGCGCGACGGCAATGCCCGGTCTAATAATTTGCAATCGGTTAACATGTCTGATAAACAAACCTAATTTCGCTTTTGATGTTGGTTGCGAGACTTCTCATTAGAAACTATGACATGAAGACTTTTGTTACGTCGCGTCAGGAAATTATATACAGTCGTACCCCTTTATAGTCACCCTCTCTATAAGCACATCATATAAAAACCTCATTGCATTCCAGGTTTTATAGTACTTTTTTTTTTAATAAAAAATGTCACAACTGTAACTTATTTATCAAATTTGTGCCACTCGAAGCATTATTATTATTATTGTTATTATACAAGATTTGTTCTGGGCGCTCTCGTGCTACAGCACAGAGAATGACAAGCAAATTGTTGCACGCCACATCATTATTACTATATAACCTCCATGTTGTTTTCCTCCTCATGGCACCTAGAGAAGAAACTGGTGGAGGAAAGAATGCAAGAACAACAGACATTTGATAACGGTAAACTGTTTCTCTCGACTTGTCACATAAAATCTTGTCAATTATAATGTTTCTTCATAAAATGTTTGTATCCAATATTAAATGCAAGATCTTGCGGATGTTCGTCTTTCTCAAAGAAGGAAAGAAGCGGCAATTATCGGTTAAACTGTTATGTATCTCGTCCATATTCAATTACTCAGAAACATGCTCTCCTTTTTAAAAACAAATTTTTATTACACATCATACATGCATCTGTCGTATAGAATTCAATTATCGTCCTCACTGTTGAGCCCGATAAAAGTTTTAATCTTGTAAATTTCTCCGAAAGTATTTCCGAGAAGCTTGGATGGGAAAGAGGAATACGTAAAAAAAATTGATAATCCCTTCGGCACCGGGAGAGACAGATTGCTGATCTCAATGACTCATCTCAGACAACCAATAGCACGTTGTATTAATTGGTAGGACAAGCTATATCATTTTGCGTTCGTATGAAAATCTCAAACCATTAAACCGACATAAAACGAAGGGTGAGTTCATATTAATGAAACAATCATCCCTTCGCTAGTTTGAAGTAACGTGTCTAACTGTAAACGAGTGTGCATGTCAAGGCGGAAAATACAAGGATCAGCAACCAGCATGTTGCTCTTCCCTGGTAAGCGGCAACTAATGGTTAGAAACTATTCAAACAAGATGAATTTCGATGATGTACAATAAGTCTGCTGCGGATGAAGGAAACCAATTGTCAATATCAGATAAATATTGTCTGCGCAAAGAGTTATTTTGGTGGCATACTCTGGTAATAATGATATGAAACTTCGAGACCCAACGATTCTAGTAAGATATTGTATATGAAATGAGCTTTGGAGCGTAACGCTTTACGCTTAATCACAGAGAAACCCTATGCCGAAAAAGTGGTTTTGATTTGCTTACTCACTCACTCACTTGCATTGATCACGCTGATAGGCACAAAGATGGGCTAAAAGAATGAGTCGTTCTTCGATATAAATTCATAATATAAGGAACCATGCTACTACTTACTGTCCTGTCTTGTGTGAATGACAGCGTCGTTCCTCCTGATGTCACAAGGATCGGAGACATTTGACTATCAAAGCTAAAAATGGCTAATGTAGCTGAGAACACACTTTGTTTGGTGTAGCCATTACTTCTACTATGTTGTAGATGTGACTCACTTTTTACACCTTACATTTTCAAACAACAGATACAAACTCTTTGCAGTTATATTAGACTAAGAAAAGATTATCTGTGAATTTATCGAGAGGAAATCTTCAGTAAAGGGTGGCATAACCCTTTAAAAAATGTCAGTTGTCAATTACAGTTCAAGAATACCAATGCCATTTGTACATGATCATTTCTTGCATATTAATATTTCTGGCGTAAATCCTACTCGATCGACAGCAACACAAACAGCAACCGCAGCAATAGGAACTAATTACAGTTAAATTAATAAGTGTTACTAAAAATAGATTAATTAAAGATGCATAGATTTCAGTTCGTGTGTTTAAGCGTTCGATTACTTTATCACCGTCAATAAACGAGTACAGTCAACTCTACCGCCTCGGGCAAAACAAAATCGGTCATTGTCATTACTATTACATGCTAATTAGTAGTCATAAGAGAGGCCGTAATATGTTACATGACATTTCAGTCATAATTCCATTGATTTCCTTTACATGATATACAACAAGAGAATATACGGGCTGCAATATACAAGAGGACGACAATAGAAAATATTGTAGAGAACGTATGATAGAGAATGTAAGTAGAAAGCGATTGAACGATCGTGCTAACAGATAATTGGATTCTCGATTTTTCAATGGGCCGCGGAAGCGGAAAAATTCAGTATCTATTTATAGGAATTAATATTACTGTACTACCCCTATCGAGGTTTAAAAAAATAAATAAATTTTAATCAAACAGTCAATCGGATCCCTATATCCCGAAATCCAGTGACTGATTGTTTACAGACAGGTAGTTGAAAATCACAAGGCATCTGTCGGGTGCAAAAACGTTCGTTATAAAAGGTGTTGCCTGTCGTTAGTTTATACCCTGAATGACTCGTTTCCATCATACCCCAACTCACCGGTAAAGAACGAGACATACTCAAGAACGGATTATCGATAATCATCGACACTGAGGTGTTTTGTTGCTCGATAATGTACAATTCAATTCTTTCGGCGATGTTTAATTCTTTCTTGTCCTTTTTACTTTTATTATTCTCTGTATGTACGATTGGCGGTTTTCGCTTTTGTTGGTTCATGATTGAAGATTGAAATCAAATCGTAAACTCTACAGAAAGCTCTCTATTTATTAACTGATGAGATTTCACTCTTCGGATTAAGTGGTTGACTTTGTTCACGTGCCAAGATATTTTAAAACTTTACACGTAACAAGTTTTCAGATGGAGTTACAATTGTTATATATATAACTTTATTTACGCAATATTTTTGCAACCAACTGCAACTATTGAGTATTTATCTTCGCGTGCTCCTAATGAGAGTATAAATATATTTTGGGGATAAAAAAGTTGCTTCGGGGGTGACGTTAACGTTGCCAACGGCAGTAATCTGACGCAATTGTCTGCAAATGTAATGGAGCGTGTTTTTGTATCATGAAAATCTTTGTCCCTCACTGCACTGTACTCACTATGTCGAATGTTTATTATGTCAATAATAAGAAACAATCAATGTTAGACAATTGATTACCAGAATGTGCCCGATTTTGAATCGGGCTGAATTTCGCTACGGATCAGAACATGACGATAACATGTTATACGATGAAAACATGACCCGATGGAAGTCTCGTTATTATTATATCCGATTTTGACTGTGTTTGTTGCTCTGCTTCTGTGGTTATTATAAGTATTTGCAACCTAGATTTTGTAATAGAAAAGAAGACTGTAACTGCTGGCTTTTACTATATAATTAAGAAACTTTTTGTTTGTAATAAGGGAAATGTAAAAGTAGTAAGTAGTCTTGTATAGATAAGCAAGGGCTGGACCGCTTGGAATAGAACAAATGACTCCAGCAAAAGATTGAAAAATCGAATAAAAAGAAGAAGAAAATGTACAGATGTGGATAAAATGATGAGTGGGTAAAATTGAACACCAAGAATGCTGAATAAAAAATCAAAGGTTTTAAGCGCATATATCGGTGCCATTTGTCATTATTTTTTGTAAATATGCGAGTTGTCTTTAGAACGAAGCATCGGTCATTGACGAATAGATGTTAAAACTGTAACATCCGCGTGAGACTTTATCTCCAAGTTATACATTAATGTGTCAAAGCTAATATTAATATATACCAGGTACCGCATGGTTAGAGCATGGCAATAGTTGACAGATCTTTTGTGGTTTAAACGCTCGTCTGATGGGAAAGCCGATGAAAGAGCTACTAGCATAGCCTTGTTTTGAACTCGGATCTGAGCACAGCTGGATGTTAAGTTGTCGGTTGGGGGACGATGCAGGAGAAATAAGTCTAGGTTGAGCAATCTTCCACAACACATCAGCCACCTTTGTTTGTGGAAGATTTCTTTTCCAAGTGAGGACACAAAGTGCCATGATGGGAATGATAAAATTTTCTTACTTCAGCCATCTGCCCATCTCTACTGGAAATAGAAAAGCGGACATCTTGGTTGATCTTGACCGCATTAAGCTATAAACAGTCTGATCACCATTCCCACAACTATTTACAGTTAAAGAACCGAGTATGACAAAAGACTTGTGTAATATGTATTTAAACATAATCAACTGTCAGTAGCGGATACCTCGTACATTATACTGCGTAATACTTTCTTCAATCATATATTTTTATCTAGATTGTGAGTGTTCTTGGCGGCAATACCAATCTTTCATTACGTTTCCAGAAATCTACCAACGTCTGAGCTGTCTTCTCGGGATCATCTTCTTGCAACTGATGACCAACCTCGGGCATTACGACTAGTTGATATTTGCCTAGAAAAAAACTTTGAATTAGAAAGCTATCCTCAGCACTTTAGAGCCCCATGTTTGAACCTTACAACAATTGTAAAGTCATGTACCTTGCATCTGCGCAATTGTTAGCGGTGTATCCAATCTATCGGTACCTTGACACGTAAGAAGGATATCTCTGTAAGTTATTAAGCCATCGTGAAATGTCGCATCAATCGAAATGCATACCTGCGAGAATCAACAGTTTGGCTGCTCTTGCTAATAGAAACTTTCCAGATAATCCACTAAACCAACCTATCAAAATTTTACTATTAGTGTTATATCGTTTTCTCGTACAATAAGTTGATTGGTCATTCTCAACTCACCTTCCCAAAATGGTTGGGACGCGGCAAGATCGGCTCTGAACACGTATTTTGTCTTGCCTGTATCGTGGCCGACTTCTCTTAAAGTTGATGGGAATGATATGCGGGCTGATTGGCGGTTACGTATTGTACGAGACTTGACGCTTGAGGGAAAATTGAAATGTTACATGTAGTTGATTTTGACGCCTTCCCTTGATTAATTTATTGCTTGCTTACCTCCATTTTATACCTCGTTCAAGCGAATCAAAGTCCGTTGGTCTTGTACTAAGATACGATGCCATTGCGGCTAGAGCTTCCACAGCATATCCTAGATAACAATTAAATGTAGTTATATATCTCCAAATAATAATATCAAGCGCAGTCAAATTAAACTATATACCTTCCACAACGTCTAGTAAGGCAATACACATGACAGATGGTAATAAACATTTTGATGCTACTTCCGCTACAACTGATCCGCCCATGCTGCGAAAAAATCAAATGTTTCTAGTTATATAATAAAGAGCACACTCTGTATTCTCGCCACATAACAATCCAAACACACCTATGCCCGATAAGAAATATATCCCTCGACTTTAGCTCTTCCATTCCACCGAAATAATTTGTTACAACGTCAACGACATCCTGGCTTAACCTTTCCAATGACCACGTCGTCTCATCAGAGGTATGTGTTGCACCTAAAGTAACTGCTGGGTTAGCATATTGATGATATGCTTAAAAATATCCCGATGGACTCGCGCCGCTCTTTTGTCAGATATATACCATGTCCCCGGCAATCGTATGTGAACATACAGCAATCTCCGTTCAGTAGTTCGTGTGTTTTCTTGGCGCATAGTGCGAATGACAGCCCAGAATACCCGGCCCCATGATGAAATACAAAGATGGGTGAATTTGGATTGTTCGCCGGAATCTCGTACGTCCGAAACACATCGTCTGTTCCAGGAATGCCAATATCAAGGGAGATAGGAAAGTAATCTTCCCACGGGATGGGAGAGTAATCGTTTCGATCGCGAGTATTTGAGAGACTGGTCACAAGAATATCTGTGAGATTTTGCGTTACGCATGTGAGACAAGAGTGGTATCGTTTCTTACGTTTGCGGTAATTCTCCAAGTGAATCTCGGCTCTCCTCTTCTGAAATGTCTCCCATTGACAGCGTTTTGCTTAAACCGGAATTTTCTTTAAACAAGCTTTTCTGTAGGGATGACATATATGCTTTTAGACAGTAGAGACATACAATGATAAAGATCGCTCATGTTTACACTTGGGAGTTTAACCCTCGTTGGGCTAGTGTCGGCATCACATTATCACGTATCACGTGAAAGATAAGTTAATTTGATCTGATCTGCGATAATCTACGGATCTACAGGTAATGCACGTGATATAATAATAATAAGACAATTTATTAAGTAACGCTTCGTAGGAACATTTAGTTAAAAATCAAGTCAATTATCAGTATTATCAGTATTCGTATCCGGATTCTGTGTCGATGCATTATTTTGTGCTAGATTATCTTGCGAATTTCCACCATTCGCACCATTCGCACCATTCGCACCATTTCCACCATTTCCACCATTTTCACCATTTTCAGCGTTTTCAGCGTTTTCACCATTTTCACCAGTTTCACCATTTTCACCATTTTCTTCATTTCCTTCATTTGTCTCTTGCGCCACGCTTTCTGCTCCCTTAACTAATTGTTTAGGCACAACCTGGAATACTTCATACTCATCGACACAAAATTTATAAGTACTGGTAATACTGTTAGCGTAATCATCTTGTTGACACCAACAATTCCTATCTTCATTGAAATTGTTCGTCATCCACAAATCTTTATCTCCGAAACAAGGTCCATGATTTCTGTCGTTCAACGGAATTGCGCAGTTGGTTCTCTGTGGGCGGCTAATTTTACCAGCTTCTATTTTACCAGTTAGACCAAAGGAATAGATAAAACTTTCCTCTGTAATAAGATGGCCATTGCCGGTCACCCATCGGATAGGATTATAACCTCCGATAACTTCACCAGAGTCACGGATCTTGAGAACGACCACTGTTGCACCTTGATCGTCGCATTTCGTATGGAATGTATCCGCATCAAACCCGTCGCGGGATCCACGAACCTGATTAATCGAAATAAACATATTATATAAATCGTTCGTGTTCACATTATCAAATAACATTATTAGAGCAACCCACCAACAACTTGAAATCATAGGGCGTATTGTCACATGTATAAAAATCAGCGTCTTCTTTTCGATCTATCCAACTGGCAATTCTTGCAACATGTTCGATTTTGATTATGGTAGAGTCAAATGTAACCATTCTGGGTGGCAATACAATACTCGTCAATGTCGTCCCTGGTTTGAAGTGGTTTCTAATAAGATCATCTAATAACGTGGGTGGCAACGTATCTTTATACGGCCATACTTTGTCAAAGAAATCTATGGGTGATATGTGAAACCATCGTATGTGTTCTATACTTGGACGGAGAATCTTTTCTAATTTCAAATAATCGTCCCGAGTCCAACATTCGCGTGCCTTTGGTACTGTTGGATCCTGTGCGATGCCCCATCTGACAACATGACCCCATATCTCTACTTCGTCCATTTTCAAATTGTCTAATTTCAGGATAGATACCAACAAGTCCGAATCAAGTTCAAGGAAATCATCGGATTTGAAGAGACAGTTGGGATTGGCACAGATAACCTGCTGACAGCAAGATTTCAGTTTCGTATTGAATTCAGTGGTTTGGGATCTACGCCAGATGGATGTAAAGTTTTTTTGAAGCCATTCGTTTTTATGTGCAAGCAAATATTCCTCGATGTGATCAGCAAGTTCGTGTAAGAGCAGCTCATCTGCGACAACCAAGGTATCAAGAAGTCGGGGTACTTCTTGGTCTTCCAACTCTATTGTGGCATTGTAGATATATCTTCAGCAAGAGAGGAAAGTTGAGGCGAGTGCATGTAAATCATTTGGATTGAATTATTGTAACAGTATCTATCATATTGTATCCCATAGTCTCCTTTCCGAATCAATGTAATATCAAAAACGTTTCCGTTATGAATTTATTGACAAACGCCAGTTCTGACGTAGTATATCCTGATGCTATAACATCAAATATAATAAAAAAAAAAGTCGTCTACACGCCTTACAACTTACTTCAAAACAGCTTCGAAGATTTTTGGATCCATCTTCGCTTTTCGCAAAGAAAATTTCCCATCCACCTTCTCACATTCCGCAAGTTCATTCTTCAGGGTTTCCGACCGAGACTTTAAAATTAGTGAATGCGCCTGAAAACATGCTAGATTTGGTTTTTCTCCCACTTCTATCTCTACATCGAACTTTTCGGTATCATCGAATATACGTCCAATGTCGCGAGACAAAGCGGAAAGGAGTTTAGACGTCATTTGATAAATAAAAATTTTGGATTTTCTCCTCGGACGGTTTATTACCTTTCACTTAAACTTTTTTATGCCATGTGCATTATGGATGACCAACCACGTGCCATACGTTAATTGTGTTCTTTAATCTAATTCTTTTTTAGCAGCCTTATGTATCTCCTATCATATAGATAAAGCCCA